AAAAAAAGTCAGAATTGTGAGATTAAAGTCAGAATGTTGAGATTAAAGTTAGAATTCTTAGAAAAAAGTCAGAATTCTGAGATTAAAGTCAGAATGTTGAGATTAAAGTTAGAATTTTTAGAAAAAAGTCAGAATTCTGAGATTAAAGTGAGAGTTCTGAGATTAAAGTCAGACTTTTTCCTCATATTAAATTGAAATAAAAATTAAAAATCCGTAAACTTTTTTTTCCCCAGTGGCCCTAATCCTCTTCCATACTAACCTAGTCATTTGGTGAGAAAATCCTATTTTTTGAGGTTATGGAGTTTGATTTCAGCTTAGCATAAACCACGGTTACTTCTTCATCATGACTGACAACAAGCTGTACTCTAGAGCAAACTTTCCAGCAACCCATTAAAATTCAGCATTAATATTCTGGAGAAAACGGTGACGTCTGCTGGTTTAAAATAGAAAAACATGAGGCCCACAGTCAGGTGTACAAAGTTTGAAGGTACATTTTATTTTGTAAAAACGTTTTGTTTGTCCTTTATTGGTTTAACAAAATCATTTTTATTGGAGTAGAAAGTTCAGAGTATAAAAATAGAAAAGGAAAAGTACAAAATTCAAGAAGTTCAGTGGGGGAGCTTGGGTAAAATCAGTGCTCACGTTTCTTCAGTTTTTGCCTCAGCAGTTCATCAGCTGATCTGAAGTTTTTTAACAGTGAGGAGGAAGAACAGTAAGAAGTCCCTTAAGCTTCACTGTGAACTTCAGCTGTTTTCCTCAGGATCACTCCCACTCTGGACCCGGCTCCATTACAGACTGCTTAGGTACAGGAAGCAGTGGGCTAAAGGAATGGGTCCAGCATGATGCAGATGTTGACCTAATACATTTCATCGGGCAGAGGTCCATGGACCAGAATCAGGAACAGGAAGATGCAGCAGGGCTCAGTCTCAGCTGTAGGTCTGGTTCTGACTCTGGATCAGGCTCAGCTTACTCCTCAGGTCCTGGCAGACAGTCGACAGGCTGCTGTTTTCCTCCAGCAGCTTGCTGTATTCCTGCATGAGGCGAGAAGAGGTCTGCTGCTCCTTCTGCTCCAGCTCAAGCTCTGCCATGAGCTCCTCTCTAAACAGAAAGCATCAGAACCCAGCTGGTTAAACAAACCCACAGGTGGAACGTAAGAGGAAACTCTACAGCCTTAACTCAGTTATAACACTGAACTGCTGCATGTGACAGGAAGAGAATTTCCACAGCAGGTGGAAGAAAACATACTTTCTGTTCAGTTGATGAGCGATCTCTGACTGGACTCTCAGGAACTCTTGGGCCATTCGGATGTGCTGCTCAAAAACCGCCATGGACTCCCGGGAGTTTGGACAAGGAGCCAGAGGCTGAAGGCGAGCAAAACAATCAGAGAGGAATATCCAAGATGCACTAATCAAATTTACCTTATAATGCAAACTGAAAACTTTAACTTTGTGCACTCAGAATGTGGTTTATTTGTTAAAGGTATAGTGGAGGATTTTTGCAAATGTTTCAAAAGACCCGCCCTCTCCACTTAAAAAAAACCCACAAATGCACAATGCAGTACCCTCTCCCGTGAGGCAACGCCTATTAAACGCAAGCGAGAGCATGCACAAGCCAATTTCTCTTCGAGGAGGTGCAGGGACGCAAAAGATGGTCCCTCAGACGGATTGCATCTCACTCATATTTATAAAGTTTCCCCGCATATAAGACTACTGGTACATAAAAAAATCATGACATGCTTGTATGTGTACGCTGTAGTGGAAAATCGGACATGTTTGTGGGGTAAATAAGGATCTATGGCCACCGTATATACTGCAAAAAATGGAAATCTAAATAAGTAATCTTTGCTCACATTAAGTGCTTTTTTCTTGAATTGAGGAGGTAAGTGCGACATTTTGCCAATGGAACAAGACAATTTACATTTAAAATAAGAAAAAAATTGCTTTGTCTTATTTCAAGCGTATATTATCTAATTATCTTATTTTAGGAGTAAAAATACTAATTCCATTGGCAGATCATCTTATTTGCCTGCTCAAATTAAGGGTAAATACACTTAATTTAAGACATTTTTTACTTATTTCTAGATGTTTTTTGCAGTGTAACTCCTAATAATGTAGATTACAAAATAAATAAAGTTATCTTCCCTGGAAAGTTACAATAAAAAGGTAGATAACTTTAATAGCAGTGATGTGAAATGGATGTCTCCAAATAGCATGCCAAACTTCACCTGTCGAGAAGAAACTTTGCAACCGAGGGATCAGTGGGGAGCCCGACCTGTGATTTCAGTGTACGCCATCGCCAGAAAGAATCTCCCAAAAACACTCTGGTCTTGTTTCTCTCTTCTGAGGCCTTCCTTTTCTTCTGATATACTTTCTAGACGCTCGGCCATTTTTAAATAACGCGGTGAGGAAGGCGAGCTACAATGACTGGCTGAAACCGTAGCTCACCACATAAAAGTATGCAGAAAAAGACAGCTAACTGACGAAGAGCACGTAGGAAGTCCTTACGCAAACATATCACCAAAATGATTGACAATTAGGACCACTAAGTTTTGGAAAAAGAACACCTTCCACTATACTTTTAAAATAAAACCAGAAAAAGGTTGCAGATATATGCTCTTTTTTTCCCAGGTCAACATTTATCAAATTGAAACCACTATCAGGATGGACACCTTAGAAGAACAAGAAAAAAGTTCTGTGAACTTACCTGTAACTGGTGATCCAGCTTCTGGTACATCGGATGTACTGGACTCTCTGATCCTTCAGTACCTGAACACAAAGCCACAGTAAAGTGAAATCCCCGTAACAGTAAGTTCATTGTAAAACTGATGCTAAAGTCTCGCTGCGATTTGTTGCATGAGTGGCAACAAAAGTAGCAATACTGTTCTGACTGTCATGTGACTCTACTCATGTTTGATTACTCGAAGCAACAGATGCAGGAAGCTTTTAATTGTGATGGTGCTGGAGGAGAACAACGACCTGCTTTAAATGCACCATACCTGCAGGAGAAAACGTCATTCTCAGCTCTGATTGGTTAAAAGTGTTGAGGGGGCTCTGATTCTCTGAGCTGGAGGTCCTGGACACAGTGGACAACCATGAGGGAGTCTGGTGGTGAGAATCAGAAGGTTCTGTTGGATCACTCGTCAGGAGGCGAGGCTCATTCAAACAGTTGTGAATTTATTGTTCTGTTACCTTTGGGGTCCAGACCTGCAGAGGGGTTCTGGTCTCAGAATTCTGCTCCTCACCACCAGTTGACGATCTGTGTCTGGTTTCGTCGCTTCGATTGCTGTTAATGGTTCCATCGGCCCAAGAGCCTGAAGACAAAAACACAGATATTTACCAACCTCCTCTGTTTATAACTGCAAGATTATTTCTATAAACACATTTTAACCTTCATACCTGAAATCTCAGCCTAAAAAAAAAAAGTAGAATTCTTCCTAACAAAAAAAAATTATTATTATTATATATTTTTTTGAGTTTTTTTCTCCAGCTGAGATCTGACCTGGTTTCAGTTTGAACCAGACACACAGGTGGTCTGTTTTTAATACCCCCTGTAGTTCAGTGCAACATCTTTAGTGTAATCAGATGGAAAACGCTGACATTCCTGCTCAAACATGTAGGTATTTAAAACCTAGAAACAGATGAACGTTTTCAGGAAAAACTGTTATACAAAATCTAATATTTAGCATTATTTGAAAAAAAAAATGAAATAAAACGTTACTTTGAAAAAAAAATGGCAACTACAGCGCTAAACCTGACATGACGTGAGAGAAAATGACCCTGAACAAAGATGAAAAGATAAGAGAAAACATGTTTCAACCACAGACTGTTTTTGCAATAAAAGCTGCAGAAATTCTCAGAGAAATCTTTCG